TGGAGAAGAGAAGAACACTTTGGCATGATATGTTTGATTGATATCATGCTTATCATCCTTTAAAAAGAATTATTTAAATCATTAACTTGGAAAATACCAAATTACCCTTAATAAAACTTTATAATCACCATTTAACCAAGATACATATCCTTATCATCTTCAAAATCAATTAAATATTAGCCTTGTCATCTTTTAATAGTCAAAGATGAACAAATTAGTTTTCCACTTACCATTTTGCCCTTGTAATTTCCAAAATTTACAATTTAGTCACTTTAATCAAACAGTTCAACTTAAACATGTAATTAAACATAAAATATTATTTCCCAGCATTTTAAAAATGTGAAAATAATATTTTTATTTCTTATTTTCGTGACCCATTTGTAATTTTTCTAAAATTACATTTTGGTCCCTAAACTTTTAAAAGTTTATACTTTGGTCACCAAACTTTACCAAATATATAAATTGATCACTAAATAAATCTGTTTATGGAATAACATTCTTTTTGAGAAAATTTTTACTTAATTCCTTAAACTTTTCCCAAATTTTCTACTTTGACCATCAAACTTTCAAAATTTACATTTTGGTCATTATCTAAATTTTTTTGGGTATTACATGATAGCCTTAGAAAAGTATTCTACTTTACCACTGCCTGAATTTTTTGAGACTTTAGCAAAATACTAATTCCAGCTTTTGGACTTCAATGGATTACATGGTGTTATTTTTTATCCAATGGAAGGAACTAATAATTCTTTTGATTTAAGTTTTTTGAATGGATCATGGACTAATAAAGTCTTTTGATTTATGGGAAGGAACTAGTTTTATTTGATCCCTCCATATAAGAGCTTAGAAATCTTTTTCACTACTAGAAAAACCCCTTTAATGACGTGCATTGCGCGTCATCTATGGGTGCATATGACACACAATTGCGCGTCATTGAAGCCACCGACATAAATATCAAATGACGCGCAATTGTGTGTCATAAATCTATGACGCGCATTTATGACACAAATTTATGACACTCATTTATGATGCGTATTGCACATCATTGAAGCCCCCGTCATAAATGAAGATGATACATTATGTGTCATAAATTTATGACACGCATTTATGACTTACATTGCGTGTCGTTAAAGCACACGTCATTAAAAAAGATGACACACATTCGTGTGTCGTGATTGTATGTCGTAAATTATGTATATATATTGTAGATTGACAAATAATCAAACTAAATCACATTTAATGCCTCATAATACTAAATATATATATCATATTATATATAAACAATCCATTTGCATACAATATATTAACATTAAGTTATCAAAAATATTGTAATCATATGTCGATACAAAATATCACGACATAATAAAGTTTGCCACATAAGATACCCATTCTTTGCGAATGTCATCAATGTCATCATCTGTGCATTCTTCCTTCCCATCGCCAACCTAAGTAAAAAATATGAAATAAGTATATAATTTATACTTATTTAAAGTGAAGTATATAACTATCAAAGAGTACTAAAATGACCAATTTTACATATGCATTCTTTGAAGCATATGTAAAAATAAATTTTACACATTTAATTAGTAAAACTTCCCATATAAATTATATGCATTATCACGGCATGAATTCACTGTTTTCACTCTTGCTAACAAGTACTTGCATTAATTTGTTTAGAATAGCACCTACTTCAAGTCCATATGATAGTTGTATGACTAATGTGTATGTATGATATGACAGATGTGTATCAGAAAAGTTTGCTTACATTCTTATTGACCAGCACTTCAAGTCCGTTCTCGACTATCTATTTTCATGAACTTACAAACATAATATCCACACTCGGTACCTCCCGACTGACGGGGACACTACAAACAATTTACAATAAACGATTAGTCAAAATGAAAGCTACAATTTAAACAAGGAATGATCGATCGAATTACTCACCAAAACATTGATCCAATTGAGGCTAACCCTTTTGTTAGATCCACTTTGAGCAGTGTATAATATCATTACCCTATAAAAATGATGAAATATATCAAAGAATATACTATAATGTTTCAATAATTTATGTTACTTACGCATCAATAATCTGCTTCAACTGCTTATGAAAATTGGTGGGCCCCAAGGAATCAAGATAATAACAACTTGTTACTTTCATATCTATCACCGCCAACACCCAATGTCTTCTATAAAAACCAAAAACCAAATTAAGTTACTAAAATATATTGATAATCAAATGAAAAAAAACTAATGAAAAAACAAACTCGGGATTATATGGCACTAGGACGATGTCATTGTCCTTTCTTAGAGACAATTGATCTGCAACACTTCAAAAATTTGAATGATAACATATTTAAAATCATATTTGAATAACCCTTTTTTTGTGCTAAAACCATATTTAAATAACAACAATCCAATATTTGAATAATAACATGAAGATATACACACACGATTCTCTCCGTCTTCTTTCCAGGAAAGACATGCTTCCAATATCAGACTCGGTTTTCTACATGTATAAAGAAAAGAAAATTTAAGTATAAAAAACTCTTTTTACTCACATTTTTCAATTCAATGTAAGGCCTCAATGCCTTCTCCATGCCTTTCTTTATAAAAACAATCCTCTCGGGATTTCTCCTAGTAGTAATCAAACAATAACGGCCCATTTGTTGCATTGAACCCAAAAACCAAGTACTACGACAGGAGCTTTCCTAGCAGCTTGGAGGAGACACTCTTTGGCATCTGTGTACTCTAATTGGATTGTCCTAATATTTCCCAAGTAAATGAGGTACCAACAAAACTGCAGAGGATAACCTTTCTAATATGAGCAAAAGCTAACTGTAAGTTTCTAAAGCTACAACCATAAAGGTAACCATGCCAAACCTCCAGGAAACCAATTAATAACCATAAAAATGCAGCTCAATTGGATGAAATGAAGTGAGCACTATTCTCAGCCCATGGGTTACTTTATTATTTATAGTTAAAAGACAAAAAGTTAACTAAGATTATGACTTGCCTGTTGGTTTGAATAATCTTCAAATTTGGGTGCCTTTGATCTCAGTTTCTTAGCTTGGTCATATAAATTGTAATGAAGGAAATTGCGAAGTAGCAGGTTAAGAAGCATTTCCTACATGATAAAAATAATTATATATAACACCCTAACACATCAGAGATATAATTGCTCAAATATTTGAAAATTTACCTGACCCAGCTCGTCATGGCGCAATGTTGCAATCCGGTGCAGGGCTAGAAGATTACTGTCAATTAAAGATATGCTAATTAGACCTAGAATATCACACAGTACTTTTGATCATGTATTCTAGAAACATACAAACTGAGATTTCCATAAAAGAAAACACGCATCAAAATATATACTAAAAACAACATACAATATAAGTCAAATTTGAATAAGATATAGCTTACCTTCTAATTTCAGCAAGGCTACCCGTGAGTTCATAGCAAAGAGAATAATAAAAGTACAACTTTGCAGCTAGGACATCGAGGGTCCTCCTATTCAGATTCTTCAGTCGAGCAATGCTTGCAGAGGAGCACGCCTTTGCCTGAAACAAGATAACATTATGTACAAAGAAATAGGAAACATCCTGATGAAGTCATTTGCTAATGTACCTCATCGTATTTTTGTTGCTCAATCAGAAATATCAGGACAAGCAAGTAGCAGTAGATTTCTAGCTCTGGCAGGGAATGCTTAGCAGGAAGTTGAACAACTGAGGTTACAATATCAACTTCCATCTCATGCTCATCTTCCTGAAACAGATTCAACAATTGGATTATTAAAAGAACAATCAACGCAAGACTAAATACGTTAAGATCATTTTACTATCTTAGTACACAAAAATATTTCTAAGGTGAACATGAAGGTAGACGAGAGGAACTTGACTAGCAACCATTTCCTACTAAACTGGTGAAGGTGACGAGCTAGTCAAGTCTCATTTTCTATTCTTCTAATTAACCAATACATCTAGTCTAGAATAAGAGGAAACTAAAAACAAAAAGAAGTTATTCCACATGATAGATGAATATTACAATGCCCCATCAAAGGTCTACCTTAGGAAGGTCTGAAGAAAGAAGAGTAAGGCCCTCAGATCCAGGGTGAAAGTGAGGAATGAGGACAACAGAGATGGCTTCAACTTCCTTCTTAAACCCATAGTAAGTCTTATATCCCGCAAAATACGGTGAGGTTCACGGTTATATGCACCGATCTCTATTAGAGACACAATTTCCTTCAAATCTAACATAAACCCAGAAGAATTTATTCAAATCGGAGAAATCCCACAAGCTCCCATTTCAGAAACATTAAAAAATAACAAATCAAATTCTACCACCAGGCGTAAAAAATATGCGTGCGAGAGGGGGAATTGGTGTTATAGATGCATAGATGGAGTGAGCTTACATTGCAAAGTGGATGGAGAAGAGGAAGTAACGGAATTGGAAGGAGCTGGTTGTTCTTTCATCTCCACATCTTGAGTCATTTTTTAGAACCTGAAACAATTTCAAATAGAAATGAAACGTAAAAAATGAGGGGGAAATGTGAAATTTCGATTATGGAGATGCTTCCAAGTCAAAGGCAAAAGGGGAAAAATAAGCGGGAAAGGATGAAAATAATGGGGGGAAATTAAAAGACGACTGTTACATATGACACACAATTAAAAGTGTACTTCGTGTTTTTGCAAAATTTTTCGATTATGACTATTAAATATGACACACGTTATTGTAAGTCATAAATCATTCAGATTTTAAGAACATGACAGTTTTTTATGACACACATTTTTTGCAAGTCATAAATTAGCGTGTGTCATCGTTCGTGTGTCATTAAAGGTATATTTTCTTGTAGTGTGTATTCACGCTTATCAGGAAACAATGCACATTACTGCTTGTATTGAGAGCTTGGTTTCATTGAATATAAGATCAGAGCATGAGGAACGTATAATACGACGGACTCATGAGTCCCATACTTGAATTGTGCTTAATTTATTAGAAATGTGGAAAGTTGTTTCCGATTTAGCATTGGATTCGTCTGCTCCCGATGAAGCTCAGAGCAAAAAGTACATTTCATTTCCTTTCTCCATCTCTACATGTTTGTTTCATAGGAAAATAAACTTGGAAATCGAAAGAGAATTAATTTGATTATCAATATAACTTCTTTTTACTTACATTGAATGTGTTCCCAGTGCTCATAAAATGGAACTTAAAAATAAGCCGAGGGAAGAGGAGCGTCGCCATAAGGAGGAGGAAAAGGCAGCCAAACAAGTGTACTACATTTTATTTTGTAGATCTTATCTTTATCCTATTCATTAAGCGAAATGTGAACTTCGATACGAAAACAAAGTAGATATTTGAATGCTAGAAATTAATGAAAAATATTTTCCTTTTGAATATACAAATATGGTTTTATTTTTTATAATTAATCAATTATTTAATTTCAAGCTACTTCTAGCTATTGCTTTCTAACACAATATTTAGCAAAATCACTATAAGTATAATGTTTTAACAAATTGTAAAAATATAACAAGTATTTCAATAAAAAAGCAAATGTGTTCTTCCCTAAAGTTATATTTTTGATTTTCACTTCTTTTTTTCTTTTATCCATATTTTATGAAATAAAAGGAAAAGGGTTCAAAATACAAGCATTGTTATGATGGTAAGAGGAAGTTAAATGCATCTAATGCAATGTGTATGTTCTGATATATTAATGCTTTTAAATACAGTGTTCTATACACAAAGAAAAACATCCGTGGTTGTAGATTGTACTGATCACTAAATTGGTAGAAGAAAAATGGAATCCATAATAATCATGGTGTTTTAATTAATTTTAAATATTGGAAGTGCATAACCAGTATTATCTTTCTCATTGCGTTATATGTGACTGCACAAATCCTACGATTTGATTATGATATCTTTGATGACTAAATTATATTTTTCTTCAGGCAGCAGCCAAGGCAAGATCACAAAGTCAGAAATCTGCAGTCGTTGATCATGAAGATATGGATCCCATGGTATAGTTTAATGTTTGCTATAGTGATGCTTTTCACAAATCACAATACAAAATTCATAAATATTTAAGTTAGCTCTAAAATGTTAAACATAATCTTTTCTTATTAGCAATTCAATGAGAATAGGCTAAAATTTCTTGCAGCTCAAAAGGGAGAAGGAAAAAAATCCATATCCTCATAAATTCTTCACATCAATGTCTATGGTTGAATATATAGATGAATATTGAAGCTCAGACAATGGAAAATATATTGAGGATGTTGTAGTGTCTTTGGTTGGTATTTAACGAGGCCCTCCTACTCCCATCATATACTATCCAATATATCATGGTTGTGTTCATTTATTTATTTTGAAATGACTTTATTGTATTTATTTTATGCTAGGGTAAATTATGAGCAAAAGAGCATCCAACTCGAAGATTTTCTTCTATGACTTGCATGGTGGCGGTGCCAAAGTGCAAGTTATGGCTGATACGAGGTAAATGACCATTTTCATAATAAAATGTGTTTTCTTATTTATGTCCTCCAAATTTCTCGTGTTATGTGAATGCTTATGGGACATTCAAGGTAATGCCAGTTTATGGGACATTCAAAGTCAGGCTTGGATGAACCTGAATTCGCTAAATTCCATTCCACTATGAAGCGTGGTGATGAAGCAAACAGGTGAAGATTTTCAAATGTCAAGATCGAAAATCAGGTGATGATGAAGTATTGGCTTTGGATGAAACATTTTGTACTGCACTTGAGTATGGATTGCCACTAATAGGTGGTTGGGGATTGGGTATCACTCAGCTAGCTATGTTATTAATGCATTCACAACATATCAAGGTTCTCTCTAATATGTTTGTGAATCTTCATATAAATCACTCATAACCCGTTGCATGCTACGTTTCAACAGGAGGTTTTTCTCTTCCCAACAATGAAACCTCAGGATGAACCATCGACTAAAGGTAATTAATTCAATTTTTGCACTATTTATCTCCTCATATGTTTCCGAATTCCATTTCAAATATAGAATAACATACAATATTGTACCCGTAATAAACGTGCAATGTCTTCATGTTATGTTATATTAAATTTATAGCATAATACTGGATTGTTTGGTTGTGTTATCAGCTCCAGCAACTTAGTGAGTTCGACTGGTTGAAATTCGACACTCTGAAACCATATACAAGGGACTAAAATAAAATGTATAATAAATAAAAGGTTCGAAATAGAAAGATTAAAGCTTCATTTAGTAACTAAAATGGAAGATTGTAAATGTGGAGACCCTTTCTGCGTGAATAGACAATGCTCTAAACGCATGGTCTCTACCTTTAATGACGGCGCCGTTTGATTTCTTAAATGTAACCCAAACTTATGCCCTAAATTGCTAAGAAACCCTTTGTATCTCTTATATCTTTTCCTAAAAGCAGAAATCCCATGCTCTCTCCATCTCATCTTCTCATCCATCGAGAATAAGCCGTTAGTGGAAAACTTCCCTAAAATGACCCCTTTTAAAACCCAAATCTCACCGAGCCTTTCTTTGAACCAAAAAGTTAAAGATTCGAAGCCTAAAACAAATTTTCAAAGACCCACAACATAAAAAAACACCCCCTTTTTGAGACTCCTAAACTACCCACACAAGCCTCAATATCCTAAAAGTGAGGTTTTACCCATGGGAAGAACGAAGAAGCAACGGCAGGTCTCCCTCAAAGGTATCATTTTATGGGTTTCCTTTTCTTTTTTTTGGGTTTTGTATTAGCTTCGAAAATGGTGTTTCTCCTTTCGATTTTTCTTCCTTGTTCGAAGATTATGATTGGGTTGCATTTCTTTTTTCATTTTTTATTGCTCCCCAAAATTCATCCCCTCTTCAAATCTTCTTGCATGTTATATATGGAGAAAAGACCTCTTTTTCCACATTTTGGGGCTCTTTGACCTGACGAGGGGGATATCGACGGGGACAACACTTGGGTTCAGCGATTGTAATGGTATCAAAGGACGAGGTAAAAAATTTTTACCCTGAGGCGTTCATATTTTATTCTGCAGTGACCGGCGAGGGATGTGGCACAGTGACGATGAAGATGGTGGGGTTGCATGGGTAAACGGCGAGGGCACATCCAGGGCCATTGGACCAGATTTGATCCAACGGTAAAGAAGCTTACGATGGCTGAAAGCAATTAGGGTTAGTAATAAAACTCTAGTTTTGTTTTCAATGTAGGTTGTTGGATCAACCGTAGATCCAACGGTTGAGGCGTCTGTTGGAATATGAGGAAACCCTAATTTAATGGGTCTTCATGCGTGGGCCTGACTGATGGGTTTATTATGTTTGGGTTTAGATTTGTAAATAGGTTTTTAGTTTTGTAATATTTGGTTCTTGTAAATGGACTTTATTTTGATCAAATGGATTAAAAATGTGTGATTAATCACAGCTGCTTCCAAACTGCATAACATGTGATAATTAAATCTTATATTTTATTAGATTACATGTGATGTTTGGGTTTTAAGGGCTGGAAGTTATTGTTGCCTAACTTCCGAACTAAAAACCATGTGCCACCACTACAAACAGACTGAATATACTGAAACACAGTCGTATCCCACATAAAACAGACTGAAACAGAAACACGTTTGATCTAACATTTTCAATATAACAGACTGAAATAGAAACAAAAACAGAAACAAGTTTGATGCTACATTTGCAATATAAAAAGGAACTAACCATTGTAAATATTATACACATAGTGAATGTTGATTGTGAGAGTATTGATTGTAACAATGTTGTTGAATTATAAGTTGGTGGTTGTTTTGCTGATTTTTTTTCTTTCTTCTAGTTACAGCTCAACCCCCCATATTTTTTTATAAACTCAGTCCCCAATGGCCTCATTCTGTGTCTAATTCCGGTGGCATGACATGTGGTATTCCCATCCCGTCTGTGTTAACCATCTATGGTATATGGCCTCAATATGCCAACGACATTCCAATTCCTCCTTACAACGCATCCACTAATCCCTGTTACTCCAAGGCACCCATTACTGACTCAATAGTTCTTCAGGTAAGCATCTCATCAACTTTTCAAGTTACTTTTTTATTTGTATTTAAATTTATATGTATGATCTAACTTATATTTCTCTAATTTAGAAAACATTAACTCTAATTCAAAGCAACTTAATATCATTATTGCCAGACTTGAAGAACCCTACTAATCGAGTACTGGCTTTTGGAAGCATGAATGGTTAAATCATGGAACATGTTCTGATTACCCTAATAACCCTCTCAATCACTTCAAATCCGCCTTAGCGCTTAGACAGGGCTTAACAAATCCAGGTGAGTGTGTTTCCTTTATACTTGCTTTTATATCTTCTGTTATAGAGTTTATGTATAAGATGGTCGAAAAGTTGGAATGATGCAATATTTATGGGTTTCATTATTATTATTATTATTATATACAACAATTTTTAAGATTAAATAGTTGATAATTCATCTTCCTAACACAATTTCTAACTTGATTCAGCTACGGGACTTACACCAGGAAACATTTATATGGTTCAAGATGTTATAAAAATAATTCAGGGCCTTACAAAAGCTGCACCTAAAATTGCTTGTAACAGAAATAAAACTGGAGGACTACAACTATGGGAGATTCGTTTGTGTTACGTTCGACCGACTTCGTCTTCCCAAATGATTACGAAGATTCAAAATTACCCACATAAACTGCCATTTAAAAATGGTAAAACTAGAGGCACCTGCAAATTGTTGAAAGATTTTGTAGTTTTTCATATATAAAAACTTTGAATAAAGGTTGCAGTAAACCTTCAAAGTTATGATATTTGTAATAAATAAGAAAATTAACTTTAAAAATATAAAAGTATTTAAATTATAAAAATAATAAATAATAAAATAATATATTGATTTAAATCAAGCCCATTCCTTGATATTTTATTTAATTTTCTTCGTGTATCTTCATCGGCATGCACTAATGAAAAAAAACATTAACCTCAAAGAATAAGAAGTAAAATAAAAAATAATGTGATTAAACTACTTGTTTATAATGACATATGCTTTCTTATGTTAATTTAATCTTGATCAACCTGAAATTAGGAGACTTACTTTATAAAGTATTTTCTAAAAATAATCAAGGCTTTTATAATAAATTTATTGTATCAAATTAGAAGGTAATTAAATAAATCTTTGAATAAAATATTGTTTTGATTAAATAACATATTTAATTTAGACTCTATAAAATGAAAGAAATTTATTACTTTAATAATTATATACAAAAATAACCTAAATTGGGACTCTCGATTATAAAGATAAAAATAAAGATCATGAAAAAAACCTCAATGTTAGAAATTGAGAATGAGAAGAGATTGTAAAGTTAATACTTATGTTATTTACATTAAACATCCCTAAATTATGTATCATATTTTGAATTGGTCCCCAAATTTTAATTATTCTAATTTACTTCTCAAAGTACTAATATCGTTTCAATTAAGTCCTTCCATCATCATATTCATCAACTTGAACATTAACAGAACATATATGAAGATTCATATATATATATATGTGTGTGTGTGTGTATGTATGTATGTATGTATGTATATGAAGATCCATTTATACAATATAAAACATTTTTAGTTATATACAGATTTAGGACTATTATATGAGTATAGATAGTTGAACGAGATTAATTCTTTATTTTTTCATTGAATATCTTCTCATTTTCTATTGTTAATATTAGTCTTCTATTTCCAGTCATCTAGCAGTACTAAATCTATGTAAAACTAACAAGTATTACACTATGTAATTGGACCTATATATATATATATATATATATATATATATATATATATATATATATATATATATATATACAAGCACTTTAACCTCTAACATTTCATTTAGGAAAAAAGAGTTCCTAAGTGGAAGAAAATCATTAGTCAACAAACAATCAACGTATGAAGATGCAATATCAAGCTTACATGGCATCACATGCTGACATGGCAACTGAAGAGGATGACTGGTGATAAAAACTGACGTTGGCTGCCGACGACGATGAGTGGCGAGTAAAGACATTCACTTTTACTTAATTTCAGGGTCAATTAATATTTTGTCTAGAGTTTAAGTGTTAGATTACTATTTTAGATTGGATCAAGTGGAGGTTAGTATTCTAATCTAAAAACTATGACAGATTTGTGACAAGAAAAAAATTAACAATCATACGAGCGACATAAGATCAAATATAAATAATATATTTTTCAAATCAGGATCAGAACTACCAAAAACCGACCAATTCAACCCATGACCATCTTATTCTTACTAAGAAAAGTAATCTCTTATTGTATATAGTCAATATTGAGCAAACCCTTTCTATGATAAGATAATGGATTTTAAAAGGGCTCGACCAGGCCCATCAAAGTAGTCTAACCAATGATCAGTTTCCATTGTAGTTTTCTTGTTACAGAAAAATGTTTGATGTTACCTGTTATAAGTTTTGTATGTCTTCATTTTTCTTTCATATTAGTTCTCATCGTCTTTCCCAAAACAAAATCATCTATTGAAAAACACAAAGGAAATAGAGAAGATAAAGAGGGATGATGCCAGAGTTGATCAAAACTAGAATCGAATTACCAGAGATGTTGGTGTTGGAGATTCTCTTAAAGCTTCATGTTAAATCCTTGACTCGTTTCAGGTGCGTTTGTAAGCCATGGTATTCATCTTTTGAAACCCATCATTTCATTACCAAACATTATCAGAACAACCTCAAAAACAGTAACCTTAATCTCCTTTTCAAACGTTGTCATGGTGACACTCGTGATGACATTCATTATTTCTCTCAACTTTCAACTGATAAAGACCAAAACTTTAGAGTAAAACAAACTATTCACTTACCCGTTTTCGAGAATCTTGTGCATGCACCTTCAATTTATGGCCCTTGTAAAGGAATATTGTGTTTAGGAGATCTAGGTGGTATTGGAAATAATGTTGCCCTTTGGAACCCTTCTAACAGAGAGTTTAAAATCCTACCTCAATCCAAAGTTCAACGCCCTCCTGGACTATTGGAGTTCACTAGTATTAATTGCCTTGGTTTTGGGTATGCTTCTCAAACCGATGACTTCAAAGTTGTAAGATTTGTTACTTATTACTTTGAAGAGAATCTAGATGAAGGGTTGTTGGCAGATTGGACAACACAAGTTGAGTTATATTCGCTTAAAAATGATTCATGGAAGGAAATACCATTTCCTGGGGTTCATGCTTTTGCTTCTACTTTGTTTAATAATTATGTCAATGGGTTTATTTATTGCCATGCAGTTGCAGTTGTTCACCATATTCTTTCGTTTGATATGGTTAATGAAAAGTTTTTAACTTCACAACTGCCTGAATTTGGTGGGACATTAGAACAATATTATCTGGAACTTTTGGACTTCAATGGATTGCTTGGTGCTATTTTTTACCCAAGGGAAGGAACTGACAAGTCTTTTGATTTATGGGTTATGAATGGGTCATGGACTAAACAATTAAGTGTTGAATCTATTCTTGGAGTTGAGAGGCCTTTGGGGTTTTGGAAAAATGGCGAGTTATTTCTCGAGAGCTCTAATCAAGAACTAGTTTTATTTGATCCCTCCATACAAGAGCTTAGAAATCTTGGTATTCACGCTTATAAGGAAACAATGCACATTACTGCTTATGTTGAGAGCTTGGATCCATTGAATGGAAGATCAGAGAATGAGGAATGTATAATACGACGGCCAGCCGAAGGTGAATCAAATTGATGTTGAATACTAAGACGGATGAGGAGCTACAATAAAAGAGGTAATATTTAATGGGATTTGGTCTCAAATATTGTTATTATTGTTTGAATTGTATATACATGCCATAGATATTGGCTTTTTTAGGTTTCTATTTACTTTTGTTTGTCTTAGTGGATGCACGAAATTATGTCCTACAGATTTTATTAGTTAATAACTCTGATCTGCAATTCTATTGACCTGCATATCATGATTACAGATGCATATATATGCCACACACGAATTGCTTTTCGTACTTGAATTTGCTTTTGAGAGCTCAACGTCCCTAATAGTTGAATGTAATTTGAAGTTAAACATAGGAACTATTCTTATGATTATCTTTACTTTAGATCTAATGAAACAGTGTCAATGTTTGGTATTGTTTTGTGTGAAGTCATTATTAAGGGTATTTGTAAGGGAAAATGGGTTAACTCTAGTTTATTGAAAGCGTTTCTTTGTGGAATATTTCTGGAAATTATTTTCATTTTTCTGCATATATATGATAATTCACACGAGCTTCTGCGTGTGCTTATAAAGAGTTAGCTTGGTTTTGTAATTTTATTTTTCCAGAACTTTTTGTGTGTGATGATTTTCATTCTTAACCTCAGTTATTTGTTTTAGAAGTAAATGGATTGTAGTCGTGTAGAGGCCTTGTTTTAGGTTGTTCATGCTTGGATGTGAGTGTCAAATATAAGTATTTTGATAGTTTTTTCATGTCATTAGAGGGTCCTTAGAGGATCACAACACAGGATATAGGATACCTACAAAATCGAATAGCCCTTACAGGATACCTGTTGAGATTTTGTACCGATTGGTACTCATTGGTTTGATAGTTTTGCTGAAACGATATACGCCTTGCATCATACATCACATGACTTCAGAATAAAAGAAGGATTGGCATGTTACCTAGATCTGTATTTCTCTAAAAAATATTCATATCTCATATTTATGTTACTTAGAATCTCATTTTAGGTTCGTTACTTTATACTTCATGATGAATCTTTAATGTGAAGACATAATACAAAGTTGAAAACTATTATCTCGAAGCAAAATATATGGATTGAAAGAGAACTTGTAGAACCTCTTGCATTAGATTCTACTAGATTTGGCTTCCTTGGTTTTCGGTATGATTCTCAGACTGGTGACTTCAAAGTTGTAAGATTAGTTACTATTTACTTTTGAGAGAATCTAGTTGAAGGGTTGATGGAAAATTGGAACAACCAAGTCGAGTTATATTCTTTAAAAGTGATTCAAGTTGAGTTATAGGGAGGCAGTTGGGGATTCTGATGAGGGATGACCTTATTCTTTTGGTTGATATGGTCAATGAAAAGTTTTCAACTTAACCATTGCCTGAATTTGGTAATACTTTAGCACAATATTATTTGCAGGTTTTGGACTGCAATGGATTGCTTGCTGCTATTTTTTATCCAAGGGAAGGAACTGATAAGTCTTTTGATTTATGGGTTATGAATGAATCATCGACTAAACAATTCAGTGTTGAATATGTTCCTGTATTTTATAGGCCTTTGGGGTTTCGGAAAAACAGTGAATTGTTTCTTGAGAGCTCTGATCATGAATTGTTGTTGTTTGACCCCTCTACACGAGAATTTAAAAATCTCGATATACATGGTTATCGGGAAACAACGCAGATTTTTGCTTATATTGAGAGCTTGGTTCCTATAAACGGAAGACAATAGCACGAGGAACATATTATATATCGACCAATTGGAGGTGCATAAAATTGATATTGAACACTATAATGGATGGGAAACTACAACAAAAGAGGAAATATTTAATGGGATTTGGTCTCTTGATATTCACTTTATCTCAACTATATTGTCTTGTGATGTTCTCAAATAATGTTTTCCTGTTTAGGTTTTTGTTTTCTTTTTGTTCTTTTACTGGCGCAAAATTATTCCCTACATATTTGCTTAGTTGTTAACTTTTATTTGCAGTTATATTGACTTGCATATTATGATTTGCAGGTGCGTATATATGCTAGACTCAGATGCTTTTCTTACTTGACTGTGCTTCATAGAAGTCAATCTCCCAAATAGTTGAATGTTATTTGAAGTTGAATCTAGGAACTATGATTGTTGGAATTGTTATGATCATGTGGTATTGTCCGTACTTTAGATCCAATGAAATAACGTTAATGGTTTGGTTTTGTTTCCTTTGTGGAATATTTCTGGAAATTGTTCTCTTTTTCTGCATATATATAATAATTTAAATGAGCTTATGTGTGTGCATAAAGGGAGTTTACTTGGTTTTGCATGTTTGCTTTTTCGATTTAAGAGCCGAAATTCCAGACCTTTTTGTGTGAGATGATTTTCATTCGTAAATGGATTGCATTCTTGTTGATGTCTTATTTTAGGTTATTCGTGCTCGTATGTGAGTGTCAAACATGTCAGATATGGGTATTCTGATAGTTTTTAATGTAGTTGAAGGGTCCTCAGAGGATCGTATACTCGTACGTATATCCGAAGGGATAAGTACGTTTATAAGTAGCCTATACAAATTGGTGCTCATCGTTACATTGGTTTAATGGTTTTTTTGAAATGAGATACTATGGGTAAAGGCCTTGTATCATTCATCACATGACTATAAAAAAAAAAAATAAACAAATGGTTTCGCATCTGTATATCCCAATAAATATTCATATCTAATATTTATGTCTATTTGGTTTGGCACATATATAATCTATTTTTTGTTATTTAAAATTTATTACCAATAAAAATATGTTTACAGTGATGATTGAATTAATGTAGCATCAAAAAATTTGTACTTGTCCATCGAAACAACTAATATATTAATTTTTCTTCCAACTGAATAGTTTACAAATCCATCGAGTATCATACAATATTTGAAAGAGGTTTATAATTCAGGAGCTCCATTATAAAGAGAAAAAGATAATTAAACCCAACTACTATATCAGGGGGATTTCGTCCTGCTAGAATGATGACTTCCCCTTAATTTAAAAAATTAAATTTTTAAATGGTCATCTCAATGGCTATGCAGAGGAACTTGTCATATTGGAATGTCGGGTTCACCTTAATTTTTTAAAAAATAAAATATAAAAAAAAATTATAAAGAAAATAAACTTAATGGCTATTTTTTTATTTTTCTTTTTATTTATCCTTTGACTCATTTGATAATATGATGGTGCCTCCATATATATTTTTTCTTTACGTTTAGGCACCAATTTTTCTGTTCTTTTTATAGCTCTTTGAATAAGTCAATTGTTGCGTCAAAGTGATAAGGTTTTATAGTTGTTTAAAATTTCTTTCAACAACTTCTTGAGGTCTTAGACAATTTATTTCAAATTTCTTTTACAACTTCTTTTGATGATTAGAGAGTTTGATAGTCTGAAATCACCAAATTCTCAATTGGAGTCAGATTTTTCTTTCCGATCAAAACTTGAAAATAATTGACGTAATATCCATCTCCTGATAATCAGATGATGAATAAACAAACTAGTTGAAACTAAAATCACCTAATAAAAATAACTTATTGTTAAGATCAAACGGATAACTGTCATGATTCCATTTTTTTAATCTCAAAGTTTTCTCTCACAAAATTTCCTCTTCTATTCTAACAAATTCAACCCCACTGACGGGAAGTAATCTTCAGTTTATGTGTTTTATCCTACTAGTGGTTATAGTCAAGCATCTCTAGGGCAATTATTTCTCATAATTTCGGGGTTAATATGTTGTTTGGTGGTACTTCTATGGTGAGTATTATGCCCTCAATAGTCGGGTTAGGTCTCTTGTTGGAGAATTAGTGTTGTGACGGTTGTATTATCTATGGAGATTAATTTGTAGTGTTGTCTTGTTCTTTGTAGGAGTGCTCTTTTCCTCCATTTAGGTTTAGGGAGGTTTTTAATGAGGCTTCTAACTAAGGCTTTAATTCAAAGCGCCTAGGAGTGAGGTGATCAAAAGATTCAAGGAAATTGAGGATGCTGAAAGAATGTAATTATAGTGGTTAGTTTTGATTCCTTGTATGTGTGTTTTTTTCTAAATATTTGATATGATTTTTTCACTTTTATCATGGAATGTAAGAGGGATGGGTAAAAATAAAAAAGTAAGGGTTATAACTCGTGAAATTTCAGTGTAAAGCACGATTTGTGTTTTTGCAAGTAGGGGTGAGCGTTCTATCGAGTCGAGTCAAAATATTTCGAGTTATTCGAGTTGAAGAGTCTTCTTTTATAAGTCGGAATTGACTTGAAATTTGTTTCGAGTCGAGTCTAGTATAGTCAACTTTTCATGTTTTTATTTAAATTTAATTGTAAATATTTACAATATCATGCCATTACTTTATTCCAATTTATTTTTTATTTTTTAACTATATATAATACATATATATTTTTTCATATTTTTTTGTTTTTTTTTCATATGTAATTTACATATACCAAACAAAGTCGATGGAGTCGGCTCAAACTTCGACTCAAACTTGAAAATTAATTTATTAATTACTAAAAATTTTGAGTTATTCGAATTGTATTTTACTACTCGATTTAAACTTAAATTTTTTTTTAGTCGAGTTTATGAAACCACAACTCGAAATCAATTCGAGTCAATTTTTTTTTAAGTTGAGCCTAGTTGAAAAAGTGATTTTTTAGTCTGATCGACTTCACTTCAATAAACGAAATTGTCAGTCGTTAATCCTTGGACATGAAGACGTTTGATGGGAAGATTTTTTGGAGAGTTAGTCTACACACTATCTATTGGGGCTTCGGGTGGCTAATCTCATTATGGGAAACAAACTTTGTTTTTTTTTTTTGCTAAATTTTGCTGAACAGGACGGTGGTCGTAGTGGATTTATTTCCTCAGGTTAATTTAGAAGTTGAAGTGGTTATTGTATATGCGCCGAACGATCCATGGGAGAGGGTGTTCTTCGTTTTGAACGTTATTGAGTTAATTGCTGAGGTTAATGGCCACGTTATCGACGGAGGGAATTTCAACACAGTTAAATTAGATTAAACAATAATCGGGGTAAGCTTCCATAATAATGTAATGAGAAGCTTTGGGGAGTTTATTTTGAACAACAATCTAGTTAATCTACCACTAATTTGAACCAATTCACATTGTTTAGAGGAAGAGATGATGCTAATGCAAGAAGATTGGATAGAATTCTTGTATCCACAGAAGTTTTAAATAAGTTTCCCCAAATATTCAGGACCACGTTGCCTAGAAGCCTGTCTGATCACAAACCAGTGGTGTTGAAGGAAGAAATTATGAAAAAAGTACATACACCTTTCAAGTGGTTCACTCATTGGGCGGATGAAATTGGTTTCATTTAAAGGGTAAAAAATATGTGAGCTTAATCAAGGAAAAGGAGTATGGAATATCCTATATGAGGTTCAGACAGTTTCAAAAAAATAAGTCGATTGTTTTGTCAAAGTGATAGTAGAGGAAATAGAGAAGACAAATAGGGGAAGAATAAGATGCAAGGGCTGATAAAAAATTGAACCAAATTAACAGAGATGTTGGTGTTGGAGATTATCTTAAAGCTTTCTGTTAAATCCTTGACACGTTTCAGGTGTGTTTGTAAGCCCTGGTCTTCATCTTTTGAAACCCCTCTTTTCATTACCAAACATCATAAGAACAACCTCAAAAACAACAACCTTAATCTCCTCAAACGTTGTCAAGGTGACATCCATGATAACATCCATTATTTCTCTCAACTTTCAAATGAGAAAGGCCAAAACTTTAGAGTAAAACACAATATTCGCTTACCCTTTATCGAGAATTTTAAATATGCACCTAAAATTGATGGTCCTTGTAATGGAATATTGTGTTTAGCAGAGCCATATATTGGACATAATGTTGCCCTTTGGAACCCATCTACCAAAGAGTTTAAAATTATTCCCTAATCCACAGTTTATCGCCCTCCTGGACTATATTACACTAGTTTTTATTACATTGGTTTTGGGTATTATTCTCAAACTGATGACTTCAAAGTTGTAATATTCATTACTAATTGTTTTACATGGGAAAATGAAGAATTCAGGAGCATTTATAGTCATTCGATCAATCAAGTTGATTTATATTCGCTTAAAACTAATTCATGAAGGAAATTTCATTTCCTAGGGTTCATGCTTATGGTTTTACTTTGTTTAATAATTATGTCAATGGGTTTTATCATTGGCAGGCATAGGGGATTTTGGGAGTAAACTTATTCTTTCATTTGATATGGTTAGTGAAAAGTTTTCAACTTTACCATTGGCTAAATTTGGTTGGACTTTAGCACAATACTATTTGCAACTTTTGGACTTCAATGAATTGCTTGGTGCTATTTTTTTTACCCAAGGGAAGAAACTGACAAGTATTTTGATTTATATTATGAAAGGGTCATGGACTAAACAATTTAGTGTTGAATTTGTTCTTAGAGTTGAGAAGCCTTTGAGGTTTTGGAAAAATGGCAAATTGTTTCTTGAGAGCTCTAATCATGAACTGATGTTATTTGATCCCTCCATACTAGAGCTTAGAATTCTTGGTATTTAGGCTTATAAGGAAACATTGCACATTATTTCTTATGTTGAGAGCTTGGTTCCATCGAATGGAAGATTAGAGCATGAGGAACGTTTAATACGATGACCTCTACAGTACGGAGGCACGCCAAATCTATATTGAAGACAAAGATGGATAGGGAACTATAAAGAAAAAAGGAAATATCTAATGGGATTAGTCTCTTGATA